GGGGGTCTGAAGGAGCCTGCACACAAGGGGCTCGGGGGGATGCTGCTGGGGGTCTGAAGGAGCCTACACACACGGGGCTCGGGGGGACGCTGCTGGGGGTCTTGGTCTCTGCTCTTCACCAGCACTCTGTCCTAATGTCTCCCAGGCATGGCTGCTGGCCAGGTGCAGATGAAGATGAAGACTCAGAGGTGGTGCCCCCAATTCACCGGGGATCCCACCTGGACCTTGGAATCCCACCCAGGCTATAGGAGTCCCCGAGACGCCTGGCCGCTCCCTTTCCTATGGAAGCCTGGGGCAGACGGGATTGTCACTGCTGTGATTTCACACACCACAGCCAGTTGTCAACCATGGTGTGTGATGACAGAGGCCACAATGTTCCCCTTCTCCCTGGCTGGGCTGGTGCAGCCATGCACCTGGGGACCCTCCCAGAGAAGGGCCTTCCTCAAGGGCTCCGTGCATGACGGAGCTGGGACCTCAACACTCAACTTAGTCTTCCCTCAATTCAATTGGATGCCATGGGGGAGAGCGCATCTTAGACGGTTCACAGGTCAATGTGGTCCCCAGCCAGGTGGCTCCTGCAGGTGCCTTCAACCCATGCAGGGAGGGCAGAGGGGCCAGGAGCTGCCCCAACCAGATGGCAACAAGCAGACTGCGTGGGAATCAGACCGACGGGGCCTGGCTGTGACTGCTCTCGAGTGGGGAGCACACCTCACCTCTCCCCTAAGCCTCAGCTTCTCCATCCATGCAGTGGGTTGTTTTCAAGCCTAACTGAAGTAACGTGATGACAGCGGGCTCACAGTAATGCCCACCAACGTCAGCCACCGCCACCATCACCCTTATCCACTGGCCACGTGATATGGTTTGCCTATGTCCTCACCCAAATCTCATCCTGCATTGTAGCTCCCATAATTCTGATGTGTGGTGGGAGGGGCCCAGTAGGAGATCATTGAGTCATGAGGCGGTTCCCCATACTGTTCTCACGGTAGTGAATAAGTCTGATGAGATCTGATGGTTTTATAAGGGGTTTCCCTTTTTGCCTGGCTCTCATTCTCTCTCTTGTCTGCTGCCATGTAAGACGTGCCTTTTACCTTCTGCCATGATTATGAGACCTCCCTAGCCACGTGGAACTGTGAGTCTATCAAACCTCTTTTTCTTTATAACTTACCCAGTCTTGGGTACATCTTTATCAGCAGTGTGAAAACGAACTAATATTCCATGGGTTAGGAGTTTTATCTTCCAATTGTTGGGATATTGGCTACTCACTTACTTCCAATTTTAGTATACGTGCCACTGAAGCCAGCACGACTCACTGCCTTTCCTAGGGTTAATAATCTGGTGGAGAAAGAGCTGGCTTAGAGTTGTGAATCTTAGAGAAGTGAGCAAAGGAAGCCTCTGTGAGAAAGAAGTCAGGCTCATGCCCCCAAGAAGCAGTCAGGCAGCATCGCTGTCCCCTGGGGACCCAGAGGGCAGAAGCCACACATCCAGGGGGGGCAGGCGGAGCAGGGGCAGGGCAGGAGGTGATTCACCCGGGAGCTGATGGTTTTGCTGGGAATTCTGTGGGCTTGTAGAACATCTGTATGTGGGGAGTGTGATACTTCCCGGGGCTCCTTAAAGCAGCCTCCAACGCATCCCCAGCCCCCGTCTCGCCCTGTGTGGGGACCACGCTCTGCACACACCTCTGGCTGCAGGTTGGTACGGCGCGTGCCATCCACATGGTGCTGCCAGGGCTGCGGGGGAGGATGGCGGTCTGTCTGGTGATAAAACAAACCACAGGTGGACGTTGCAGCGGAGTGAACCCTCAGGAGGAGCAGCCGCCTGAGGTGGGGCTGGGGAAGTTTGCGGATGGACGGGAGCAGAGCTTAAGGCCACACATCCCACACTCAGGAAAAATATCCTCATTACTGAAAGATCACAGCCCTGCAGAAGGGTTCACAGTGAACATCATACTGAGAGCCCCAGAACACTGTGGCAAGTTTGTGCAGCCCTGATGGGGGTGTCCCCAACTCATTCTGGGCCCCCGGCTCCCAGATGCCTCTTGGCCAAGGACAAACCAGGTCTCTCAGCTTGAAAAGACACCCTAGCTGTGGTCACATCTCCTGCTGTAGGCTCAGGGCTCAAGAAACCAGGGCACTGGCTGCTCAATGTCCCAGAATGCGGCAAAATCTTAAATGGGGCAGGAAATCCAAATGCAGAAAGGACGCACTCTCCAGGACCCATCTGAACAGTTACTTTCAGGCAGGTGGGACCACTCTCAGGTTCTCTTCACCATCTTCCAGACACACAGACAGCAGATCAAGAAAACCTGCCTTTCCCTGCCTGCAAAATGACGAACAATCCAACAATTCCAAGTGCTGACAGGAGAATGGAAACAGGGTCATTGCTTAATTTGGAAAATGGAAGTAGTGTTGGTACTCAGAGGATTATTTAGGGGAAACATCTGAATAATTCTTGCCGGGTGGGAGGAGCTGCTGCTGCAATGTGAGGACACGGAACCCAACCGCCGCAGCACCACACGGGAGCCTACCTTGCCCTCATCCTCCGGGTCGCTGTAGCCACAGGCATCTATGAAATCCGGGAAAGTCTCCGACCACCCATCACTCGTACAGTTTTTGCTTATGTTTCCTGGAAAGTGAAGTTCAGATATTTTATTTGCAAGTCCATGAAAACTGGCCTTAGAAGGCACCATTTGGTCCGTGCTGAGCCTGTGCTATCTTAAAATGTTTCCCATGCCCAGGGGTCAGCTAGGAGACATGGCTGCCCCTCGAAAAAACTTCCTTGGCCTCCTTGTCCATGTGACCTGGCCAGCAGGCCACCTCTCGGGGGCCTGAGATGTGAGTGAATGCACTGTGTCATAAATCATCATTACCACAGCTGGAAGTGTAGCTCTTTTGGGTCAGAATGAAAATTCTTAATAGATTCTTACGTTCTGCCACCATAAGTGATATTTGCAGCCAAGCACTGACCATCCTGGAGCCAGGTGCTTCACCTGCCCCAGGTCCTGACAGCACCCTCCCTCCTCCCTGCTGGGCCCTCACCACCAACCCTGACCCAGTAGGGCAGGTTCCACTTGGCCACTGGTATTGGAAGAAAGGATGGAGGAATTACAGTTTAATCACATGAAACCAAGGCAGTTATGCCCTTACAATATCATCATTTGCTCCTAAAGAAGTAAAATCATATGTAAGCTCAGAAATTCGATGTTCTTTGTATTTGTGTGTGTCCTTAGCAGATGGGGCCACACAGAACAGTGATAAAGCTCTCAAGGGTGTCCGAGGCATAAGAATGAAACCGGGCACTGAACCCCATGCCAGCCTTGCCCTGAGCATGGCTGCATGGCCTCAGGATCACCCCACCGCAGAGCCCACGAGGCCGGACCCCTCCATGCACCCCTGAGCCTGGTGTGGCCGGGGCGGGGCACCTGTCTCCCTGCCTGGGGGACTGGAAGGGCCTGGGGCTTTGGAGTTATCCAATATATTCACTCTCATGACTTTTTAATTTCAAGAAAACCTTGCAAGACAGACTTGGTGGGCACTGCTGTTCCCATTTTACAGAAGAGGAAAACAAAGCTTTGAGGACTTAGTAGTCTGAGTGGGGTGCATGTGTGATTCTTGTCATGCACTGGTGAGAGGCAGAGAGAGGGCCCGGCCAGGCCCTGACTCTACCAGGGAGGAGTGGGTAGGAGGCTGGTCTCAGCAAGGCCACAGGGCTGGTCCTACCCATTGGCACCCCGACACTGTCACCAACTGGGGGCTCTGACTACAAGACCCACACCTCACACAGTGAGCTCCAGGGGGCTCTGGGGGCTGCTTAGCTGCAGAGGCCCCCATACACGGTGGAGGCAAAACAGAGCCCTAAAGGGGGCAATACTCCTAGAGGTCTGGTTCCACTGCCCCAATTTATGGACAAGGAGACAGGCCCACAAACAAAAATGATGTGCCCACTACAGACTCAGGAACAGCACTCGTAATGGTTGTTATAATGATAATAGTCATGTGGTAGTGGCAGCTATGACTCACCGAGCTCTCAGGAACGCCGGGCTCTGTGCTTGCAACAGCCCAGTTAATCCCGACAACCACAGGAGGCAACTCTCTCATTAACCTCAGAGACGAGATGGCTGAGGCTGAGGGAAGTTGTGCCACTTGCCCAAAGTCACACTGCTGGTGAGCGATGGGCCAAGTGCCACACCTGACAGCTTGGCTCTCAACTGAGCAGGGCACTTGCAGGTCCTATCCTGAGCCTGGAGCCAGGACTTGGGTGGGAGCTAAGCCTGTCACTCATCCTCTGCGAGATGCAGCCCTTTTTCCTTCATACAAGGATCAGTGTTTACCAATCCAAAGAAGATGCTTAAATAAAACTCAAAAAACTAAGCCAGTAAGTCATTCTATGAAGTGCAGATTCTCTCGCAGGTTCTCCATCCTTTCTGACTTCTCACTCCTGAGACACATGGGGCGGATGTGGAAGGACAAGAAATGGCAACCTGCAGAGAGATCAGGGAGGTGCAGTGATGCCCAGGAGGGGCAGAGAAGCCAGGAAGATGCAAAGAAAGGTTGGGGGCAGGGGGGGCGCTATCCTCTCGCCCACTTGCCAGACAAAGAATACTTGAAGGCCTGCCTTAGGGCTTCAGTGCTTCTCAGCAACTATTCCAAGCCCCATGAGCCTACATCATCCTCCACTCAGGGCTGCGCTGATGCCCCTTTGTCTGCTGCACCTGGACCTATGTCTGTGCTGGAGGGGGCTGAGCTGCTGCCCTGGGTCTGGCTACAACAGCACCATGCAGAATTGGCAGGTGGGCACCAGGAGCAACTGGAAACACGGAGAGCAAGTCAAGGGACAAAAGCCAGCACACAGCTGTCAGAGCTCCCTCCAGGGCGCTGAGCATGGGGCATGAACAAGAGCTGCTCACGGAAGGCTGTCGTCCCGTGGTGAGTCCTCCTGCCTCTCGCCCCAGCTCTCTGCTTCCCTTGTTCCCCTCTATGCAGACGGTTGGCTCACTGCCTCCTGGAGGGGATGGGGACAGGAAATACCAGAAGCACCTAATCCTCACAGCTTTCCCCGAGCACCAGCGGTGAAGTCCAGCCCGGGTGGGAGAGGGGTAAAGTCTTGCTCGGGTGGGGAGAGGGCTTGCATCCCAGGTCCTAACTCTGCAGGGCAGGAGTTTGCATTCTGGTGTTTGCCAATGTGGAAACCACAAGACTGCTGGATGCTTTCTGGAAGCCTCAGAACCATGCCATTGACTAGGAAAAGCTGGAGTCCATGCCAATTCACTCCAGATCTCTGGAAGAATGGATGTAGCCCAAGCTGATTAGTAGAAATGCTACTGACCGGAGGGGCAGTTCTTAAAGTTCAGGTCCTCTAAAGTGACATAGATTCTAACTTGGGGGTGGCCAATGATGCTGACACAAGCATGGTCCCCACCTTTAGGCTGCTCTGCTGGCAACTCGGGGTGAGGAAGTAAAAAAATCTTCCTTTCAGAATCTGCTTTTCCTCTGTCCTAATCTCTGTTCTAATCTTTTGCTTTAACACTTCAACATTATTACTTCCCAGCGTCTTTACCCTTTAACCTCTGTCCAAGATAAAAGCAAATTCTCCATAGCACTCCAAGGTATTATGCTTTCTGTTTCCAGATGTTTCTTATGTTTTCTATTTTTCTAAAGAGAATTTCTTCACATTATGAAACTCTGAATCACTCACAAAAATAATCAAAACCCTTCTGTGAAGATTCAGCCAAGAGATATTTGCAGCACCGCACATGGAACATGCCCTGGACACAGAGAAGGAGCCTGGAACCTCAGAGAAACTACAAATTCCAGGCAGCATCAAACCTGTGAGGCAGCAAGTATGTCGGGGGAGTGGGTTCAGTACACTAAGTGCATCCTGGGGCCTCTCTCCTGAGCATGGAAGCTCTGGGTGCCACACTTTCCCACTTCCCAGAACCTTCTAGAGCATGTTCTCTGGGGTTCACAGACCAACTCAGCAGAAGGAGGGGAGCCTCCTTTATGAACCCCTTGCATTCCCCCCACTCTCATGCACTTTTCCCATGCTTTGGTTTCCATTTGGCTCCTGTGTCCCCTGGTTCTTTCCCTGCAGTTGCCCTGCTCTCCGGGGTTTGGATGAAGGTAGGCAATGCCCTCCTGCTCCCTAAGATGGGCACTCACCCCAATGTGCCACAGCTGTTCCCTGACCCCCAGGGTAGCAGGAAATGCCTGAAGGAAAGTGATTTTCCTGCTTCTTGGATGGAAAAAATGGATGCTCAGACGCAAACACCGTGGGGGAGCTAAGGAACTCAATCCACAGACGGTACCTGCTTTGCTGTAAAAATTGCTGAAGACTTTTGGGCAGGGCACCGTAACTGTCTCTCCCACATTGGCAGGCCGCCAGCACGTGATGTTGTCCCAGACGCCACTGCAGGCTGGAAAAGAGAGAAGCAGAATGAGGCAGGCACAAGGTGACAGAAGTGTCACAAATGGAAAAGCCATTAATGAGATAACTGCCTCACTAACTCCTTTTCTGTGAAACACACACCAACACAATTATTGAGGCTATAGTTAGCTTGTGGGTTCATCTCAATTAGCTTTGGAGGAATAATCACATGGTGACAGAAAGCATTTGAGTAATTCAATGTATACTATGTTCTTTCTGAATTTTAAGAGCAATATATACTATGTGCTTTCTGAATCTTTAATATTTCTTGTGATCGGCATTTCCCAGTGTGATGAAATGGGCACCACTGGGTATTAGCTTAAGTCTTGCAGACTTGGGCCTGTGGGGGAGGAAGACTCCCGGGGAATAAGAGTTTGGTCCTCTCAAGATGCCTTATTAGCAACAAAATCTTACGTTACCTTCGTGGAGTTATCAAATAATTTGCATAATGCATAGCTTAAACATTTTTAGATCTCTTATTTGGTCTTAACCACTTGGTAAAGGTAAGTCATAAAAACATTGCATTATCTTCCAGATGCAAAGCACTAGGGTTAGAATCATTTAATGATTTTTCAATATTGCCCAACAGTGACAGAATCCATGTTTAAATCCAGGACTTTTTCTTACATATCCATGGTATTTATACTATATTTGAGACCTCTAAAATTTTATCTTTTACTTAAACCTCAATATTGGAAAAGCAATGTGCTATCCTAGGTAAAAACTAACAAACAAACTCTCAGACACATGCCACCCAGACCTGTGCAGGAATACACTCACGGAGAACACACAGCTTTGGTGTGAACACAGAAGTGTTTTACTTTCAAGAATACAGAAATGTCTCTGAAAAGCTGGGCGTGAGCTAAGTTTTGCAGATGAAAATACTTTCTAAATACTTTCAATAAAAGTGAAAATATTATTTATTATAAAATAAAATTACATATCAATATTTAATAGATCCATAAATTCATATTACATTAATGTTAACATATTTAAAGAAAATGTTGGTTTTCTTTTAAAATGTTCAAAACAGGTGAACATTTTAAAGCCATCACTGGAAACTCCAGATGTGCCTTGGGCTCACCAGGCATCAGCCCCCATGTAAGGGAGCTTACAGTCTAAGTTGTAGAGTTATTTCAGTGCTAAGCTCGTAAACCGAGCACCTCTAATGCTGGTGTATAGAGGAGGTGGTGGAGAGGTATCAGGATAGGGTTCCCAGCAGAGAGTGAACAAGGTGGAGAAGAAAGTGAAGATGTCTAGGCCTCCAGTGAAGACTCTGCACATGATCAGCAAAGTTTTGTCGGTCTCCTACAAAACAGCAAGCTCTGACAGTTTTGTGGCTGGTTATTTTGAAGGTTCAACTCTTCACCACAAAATGACAAATTTCTGCCTTGATGATAGTAACAATTATATAATATTGTTATTTTAAAATAATGGGCTGGGTGTGGTGACTCATGTTTGTAATCCCAACACTTTGGCAGGTCAAGGCAGGAGGATCCCTTGAGCCCAAGACTTTGAGATCAGTCTGGGCAACACAGTAAGACCCTGTCTCTATAGAAAATATTTAAAAATTAGCTGGAGGTAGCAGCGCAGGCCTGCAGTTCCAGCTACTCAGGAGGCTGAAGTGGGAGGATCACTTGAGCCTGGAGGTCCACGTTGCCTTGAGTCTGGATCACACCACTGCATTCCAGCCTGGGCCACAGAGTGAGGCCTTGTCTCAAAATAAATAAATAATAAGATAATGTATAATAAAATAACTAATGCATAAATTATAATGCAATAATTATATGCTGTATGATACTAATTCCTGCTTTAAATTTTAAGATACTAAATTCATACCACGACAAAGTCTTTGCATTACAGTAGGATTTGATTCAAGTGTCTAGAGCTTATCATCTGATCCCTTCAATGGCTGGGTAAAGTCTTCCCTTCATTGGTTCCTTATTGAACAGCACGTGAGGCAGCAGAGCTGGCAGCTGTGAGGACGTGAGGACGCGGACTCGAGGGCTCAGGACGCTGAGGCCGAAGACAGCCGGAAGCGCAGCCGGAAGTACAACCACAGCGCTGGGGCGCATGCGTAGCAACGGCCGCGCCCTCCGGGCAGGAACCGTCTGGGGCGGGGAAGACGGGAGTTTCTCCCTCTGCTTCGCAACCTCACGGAAAGGACAGCCAAGAATTTGAAAGGACAACTCCAAGAGATGTCCCTGCAGCCTTGCAGACAGAAGCAGCTGTGTTAAGTAGCCAGGCAGAGCGGGGGAGAAGCAAGACAGAGGCCATGGTGCCCTTCCCCTGCACTGGCAAGGGCTGAGGACGCCGCAGGGAACCGTGTTCAGGTGGAGTCCTGGACTCTGTGGCTGCAGCCTCCTGAAGGGCGGGCCACGGCACCTACCTGGGACCAGATCCCAACTGTGAGGAGGAGGATCAGGTGCCTACCTGGGATCCGATCCCGACTGTGGGGAGGAAGCTCATGGCGCCTACCTGGGACCAGATCCCAACTGTGAGGAGGAGCCTCAGGCGCCTACTTGGAGCCAGACCCCTGCCTGAGGATCCCCAATAGGCAAGGAAGGGGAATCCAAAGGAAGTGGCTCTAAGAGAAAAAAATGGAACCCTGAGATCACCTCATGAATGTGGTATCTGGAGAATGTTTTGCTGTTGCTGTTCTGGCCCGAGGTTTGATGCCTAACTATTGACAGGTAGGTGAAAAACCCAGCAACAGAAAAACGAGGAAAAGCGTCAAGTTATGAAGAAAGAAAATGTTGAATCTTATGTGGCTCACTGTGATGGCAATGATGTACACCAGCAATGTGAAGTGATTCTGTCAAGACGCTGGCGGGATAATAAATTATACTTGGGTGGTGAGAACAGCACAGGAGAGATTGATCCTTATTCTTGTTAGAAATCTAATGGACACTGATGTAAATTGGGAGGAAGAAAGAAAAGAAACAGCAGCATAAGTATGCTGTTTAGAAATAAAATAAATACCAGAGAAGACATAAAAGAGATGCTACCATAGGGCTGAGAACTCGGATGAGGAGGGGCGAAGAAGGGGCTGGAGACTATTATCTTCATCAGCCTTGTAGTATCATTTGCCTTTTACAACTTTAATATTTGAAGTGTATCATAAAGATACCCATTTTTAAATATTTACATTTTTAAGAAACATTGTGTAGGCCAAAGCAAAATAATGCAGGAACAGGCCATCAGTTCAGTGTTGGATGTAAGTGATTCAAATTTGGTGCAGTAAATTTGGGAAAGGCAGCAAATCCTTCTGTTGGAGAGTGTGCCGAGGCACAGGACAGCATGGGAATAGAAGGGGAGGCAGGCAGGGCCACCTCTGAGAGGAGAGAAGCACAGCCATGAAAGCAGTGGGCAGTTGAGATTTCATGAAAAAAAAAAAAGGATTTGCAGATGGAGGTAGTGAGAAACAAACAAAAGTGTTTAGATGAGGCAGTCTGGGAAGTGGGACTTGTTAAGCTCTGGTAGCAACCTAGGTTTCGAGATGGTGATCATAAAGGTCACTTGAAAAGTGGAACATGTTTGTATCAAGAGACTGAAAAGCTACTTGGTGAAATTCAGTGGCCATTTCTAATTTTTAAAACCCTAAATAGTAAAATAATGAGAATCCCTTAACATCACAGAGAATATTTGTTAAAAATAGCAAGTATTAACCCAGGTACTGTGGTGAGTGCCTGCAGTCCCAGCAATCCAGGAGGCTGAGGCAAGAGGATTGCTTGAGCCCAGAAGCTTGAGTCCAGCCTGGGTGACTGAGTGAGGCCCTGTCTCAAAGAAAAGAAAAGAAAAAAAATAAGAGGAAAGAAAGAGAGAGAAATGAAGGAAGGGAGAGAGGAAGAGGGGAGGGAAAGGAAGAAGAAAGAGAAAGAGCAAATATTATTAGACATGTTTAAACACAATTGTACAACTGAGGAGCCAGGTTGGGTACATACAATCCATTATTATTCAACAATGTGTCATAAGTTTCAGCTAAAAGAGCAGAAAAAAGAAAACGAACTGAAGTATAAATTGGTAAAAAGCAGAGAAAAAACCCTAGAACTGGACTTTCTGTATAGCAACCACTAGCCTCGTGTGGCCATTTAAATGAAAGCTAATTAAAATGAAATGCAGTTAAAGGTTTGGTTTCTCAGTTGCAACCACCACATTTAAACTCTGCAGTGGAACACGGCTGGTAGCCATCACACCAGTACTTCCACTACCATGGGAAATTCTACTGGACAGCACTGTTTAGGGCCAGAGTTAGACAAATGCAGTGTAAACCTAGCAAACGTGTCTCACAAATCAAGAAGCAAAAAGAGAAAAGGGCGATGATACCCCTCAGTTTGCACACCGAGGTAGAAGCTCAGAGGAGCCACTTCTCTGGGTCATTGCTGTTCAGCTTAAAAGTTCCATATAGATAATCCAAAATACCCATGAATCAATATAAATGAGAAAGTTATTTCACTTATCACCCCAATCTTCATCTTTCAAAACCTGGCAGAGGGGTGGAGAAGGGGCCTTCTCTGATAATCAGCAGCCCTTCATCCGAAGTGATAGCCAGGGCTTGGTGGGCGAGCCTGGCTGAAACAGGACTGCAATCTGTCTGCTTTGGACATTTCACCTTAATTAGAACACAGCAATGCGTGTCACCACTAGCACTTAGAATGCATTGCCAAAGCCCCCAAGTTCAGGCTTGCTGGCTGGGTCACCCTTGGCCTTTGAGGGTCATGCCCCTGACGTGCTGCCTGGAACCTCCAAGGTCAGGGCACTGGGAGTGGAGGAACTCAGTCTGGCAAAGCTGGTGTCCGAACTGCCCGACACCCTATAGCTGCCCTTCTCACCTCCGATTCTGCTGCTGCTTCCAGTCTTTCCTAAGCACACAAGTCAGCTTCCTGGAGCCACATGCTTCCTTTCATATGATACCAGCTTAGGCTACATTTAGCTAAGTAGTCAGGCAGCCTGTGTGAGGCATCGATTTGTTTGTAAACAGCAAGGTCT